TTTTTTTTTTTTTTTTTTTTTTTTTTTTTTTTGAAATGAAGCGTTTGCGTTATTCAGCAGGATATCCGGATGCTCTACTGATGTAATGCAAAGCACTTTATTACTGATCTAGACTGCAGTTTTCGTGAAACATGTAGCGGTACTGTATTCCAGTTTATCCTTTGTTTAAATTTCAGAGGTTTTTAACGTAACACTGATTATAATAAGACGCTGAAGACTGACGTCTCATTAATCTTCTAATATTTTTGTCTTTTGTAGACAGTAGGGATTTAGAAGCAAACTATATTCTTGACGTATATTATGTGTAACACATGACTCATCGAAGCAAACTAATTTTGTTAATTTTGTTGAGGAGGGTTTGATGGTACTTGACAATTTTTCCTCTCAATTTTAAATTTCAAAATAGCTGAGGACTGTTTACTTTAGCTCAGTTATTAAATAATGTTTATGTTTATTTTGGCCTGAATTAACATTGCACAACGTATATAAGATCTTTAGATCTATTTTATTTGTTTTTTTTCTTTCTTTTTTTATTTTATTTTTTTACTTTTTTGAAAATAAGTTGTTGAGTATCTCATCAGATACAAGTAGAAGAAGATGAACGTTTATTATCTTATTGGGATGAATTTGCTTTTAGTTGGTCTTCCAGCAAAACAGAAACAACTTTGGTTAAATGTTTCTTAAAGCACTAATTGGTTAAATTTTTAAGCTTGGACGATCTTTTTAGCTGATAATGCTATTGCTTTTTTTTTTCTATCGTGGAATTTTTACGTTCTAGTTCTATAAAGAACAATATTCTTTTGGATTGTGTGGGTATTTAGAAGAGAGGAGATGTTTATTATTAGTTGGAGTCAGAATGTTATTTGAAAAATTTTAACTTTATACTCTTGAAGGTGGCTAACTACTGAGTCTTACAGATGTTTATCTTATGCATTTTTAGTGGTTTCAGTTAAAGGCTATGTACTTGACAGAATTTTGGAGTCAGAGTGTTTTATCTTTTATTTTCTTATAAGGTCAAATAAGAGGCAGATATGAA